TTAAAGGGCTTATTCAGAGACAAAAATCAGTGTTATTCAGGTTTTTCCTCAGTTTACTTAATACTAATTCTTTTCTTCCCAGAGTAAACATAAAAGTTAAAAACCTAAAGAACAAGAGTTGCCTCTCATTTTAAAATTCAGTGACTGAACAGCTTTGTAACTACCAACCAACTTCTCTAAGTCTAGGACCTAAGGAAGGCAGTGTACCATTCCTTTCTTCACGCCATCAAAGTCAAAGCAGCACTGATCCCTAAACACCACATCTCCTTCCACAGCTCTGGTCCCTGAATGTCAGAAGCTCTTGAAGATGCCACACCCCCTTAAGGGTTTAGTCACCATAGAAACAGCGCTAGTGATGCTATCGAGACAATCACAAACATGCTTACCACTCAGGGTGTGCAAGAAAGGAAAAAACTCACATCCCTAAAACCTTGAATGGTATACTTTAATGGGTGAATTATATGACATTTGAATTACAGCTCAATGAAATAATTGGGGGTCTTTTTGTTTGTTTTGTTTTATTTCAGCATGTGAAGAAATTCATTGTTACAAGGTGGCTGTGACTTTTTTTTCTTTTATTCTTTTGTGTGTGTGTGTGGGGGGGGGGGGTCTTTTGGAGACAAGGTTTTGCTATGCAATTCAGCCTAGCCTTGAACTCACTTTTTTAGCCCAAGCTTGCCTCAAACTCACCTCTCCTGAGTGCAATTACAGGCATGTGCCACCATACCTGGTCAGCAATGGATTTTTAACAACTAAATTTTACTCCAAATGACAGGACATATCTTTCAATAAGGGCTTACATTAAATAATACTCTACAAAAATAGGACATTCATAGCTAAAAGTGGGCTTATTATATCTAAAGCAGAACCATTCTGTGCCTCCAGAGATATTTTAGTGCTTTACTTTCTAAAAATCCTCTGTCCTATGATGCTGTCTTACAAAATAACTACCCATGTCTTCTCCATTGAAGGTAAATCAATCCCAAGACACTTCTCTCTACAGTCTTTTTGGTTGACTAAGGCCCTTGATTACATTATAACAAAAATAGTCTGCAATTATAATTTGCAGACTATTTAATAATTTATAGTCATATAAAAATAAGCTTAGGAAGAAAAGAGGACAAAATGATATACCTTAAAGTATTAGCCACAATGATGTTTGGTAGGACTGAGTGATTCATTTCAAGAAAAAGAAAATCTGACTTGATATAAACCAGCACAATCCAGGCACATTCTCATTCTTTCTGTTTTCTAAAAAGCTGTCATGTATATCTTGTTCTCTCTAAAGTCTTTATCTTCTATAAACTCAAAGCAGCCAGTTACTAACAAAAGAAAAGGTAAAGTGAGGCAGGATGAAGAAGGTAACACATCTATCTGGGAGCCTAGCTTCCTGCCTCACCAAGCTCTGTAGGGAAGGTCACTCACTGTGGAGAGCACCCATCTCCTCGCCTGTGAAACAGACTGGAGCCCAATCCACAAGGACTCCTTTCTGATCTAACAGCCTCACTTTTCAGAGTCAGGGTTCTGTCTCCTAAATCCCAGCCTGTACATCTCACAGACACAAGTCTGTGGAATTTGAAAGATACAGGATGGCCGTAAGTCTGGAAACATAAGCAGATACGGAAGAGATGCCTCCTTAGACAGCATGTTAAATAGGCTTTCAGACTTGACCATCTTGTAACAGCACCATCAAGCTTCTCCCACTGTCTTCTCACAGTGCGATCCAAGTGCTACCTGAACAACAGCAAAAGCAGGAGGGGGTCTCTTTTAGGAGTGGCTGCCTGGACCCAGTCATATTTCTCAACTTACCTTAGAGACAGTTTCTTGTTCTGCTTGCTCCTATAGCCTGGAAAGAAAATACTCTGGAACACCAGACACTAAATACGTGACAGGCCTCTCACTCAGCAAGGTCCCACAGCAAAAGCTACTTCTCAAAAGCAAGATAACTGGGGCTGGGGATTTAGCTCAGCGGCATAAGCACCTGACTTGCAAGCAGGCAGTTGTGAGTTCGATCCCTGGTACCGATAAAAAGGAAAAAGACAAAAAAAAAAAAAAAAAAAAAAAAAAGCAAGATAACTGTAGTTGTAAGTGAACACACGCAGGGGACTAGGGAAAAAAAACCTCAGCAATGTACAGTAGCCAGCCAAGAAATCCAACCGTCCAAGGCAGCCTTTCTGTTGACGGCAGGGAAGCCAGTGAGAGCTGAGCATGGTTCAGAGCTCGTCACCCTGCCAGCAAAACGCCACCTCTCATCCACACACAGCTTTACCTGCAATGCCCAAAGCTGGACACCTGCAGGGAGTGGAGCCAGATTAGCTCTCACAAGTGGAAGCAACAAAGGTTAACTTTTCTGTGAAGCGGCAGCAGCCGTTTCCTGTTGTATCAAACATTAAAGTACCGAAAGCACAGTAACGGTGAGCTCTCAAAAGGTCCTGGCAGAAATGAGTAGGCAGGTGCCTGGTTAAGGTCTCAGTTCCAGGGCTGTGTATACCCAGAAGCTTTATCTGGAGCTTCCTTCAAGCCCTCAGCTCCAGGTGCAGGTCAGGTGCCCTGCTCCAAGCATCCACAGCAGTCAGGACTCCTCAAGGACGTTGTCGTTGAGATTTGTTTGTCTTTCCCACTAGACTGTAGCACCTCAGTCAAAAGATTCCATGTGAGTTACCATCATGCCTATCCAAGGGAAGGCTCAGGAAATATTCACCAAAACTGCACATTTTATCCTCCCAGTGTCAAAATGCTCACTAAATGCCCCTTGAACTGAACTATGTTCAGTTGAGACTTTTGTTGCCCCATGACTTCTTTGGCGGGGCAAGATAGTATAACTTTACAAACAGCTCTAGAACCCCAAATCTGAAGTCAGACCAGGGGGTTCCCACCCACACCCTGTCGTCTACTGGGTCTGATCTACTGACCCGCAGATCAATTATTATATTTCTCTAATTCCAGTATTATCCATAAGTAGGGAATGGTATTCATATCTTTCTCCAGTAGTCATGAGAATTCAAGAGTCTGAAACACATGGCTTAGACGCTGGCACTTGGGATGCACTTATTAAATAAATGTCATGACACGATTATTAGCCATACTCTGGAACTGAGGTATGAGGCAAAACTTTACCCACTATAAGAGGTCACACTTAGCTGGGCTTACCCAGAGCCCAGTTAGAAGGGTGAGCACTAATTTGCTTCATTTTGATTCTTTCAGTATTTAAGCTGGCTCAGGTTCTTGCAACGTAAACATAAATTCCACTTTGACTTTAAAAGTTTTTAAAATGTTTATAGTTCAAATTGTGTTTTATTACCGCTTCTCGGTTTCCAAGGTTTTCCTCTTGGCAGCATCACTGCAGGTGGCGTCCCTGTCAAGAGAAGCAATGCAGGACCCAGTTGTGTTCAGAGTGGCAGCTGCTGGTTGCTAAGGCTGGAGCATCCATGTGGAAATGAACAAGGCCAGTGAACCCAGAACTCAGAGGCTGCAAAGTCCCTGCATTCGGGGTCTCCTTTCTCTGCTCCCCCAGATCTCTTCCCACCTAGCACAGTCCCTTGCTTTGGTCCTTCTAGGATACAACTGCCTTCTCCATAAACCTTTTAAAAAGGTTTCCCCAGTTGCAGAATAGAATGTACCCTCTGGATTCAAGTAGCAGGAAAATCTTCTCTTTAACCTTATTTCTACCCTAAATAACTTTTTCTTTAAAAAACATATATTGAGGTATTATCTCTGTACCACAAAATTCAATCAGGGTGCAATTTAAGGTTTTAGTGAAATTACAGAATTGTACAGATACCCTACAATTCCATTTTAAAACATTTCTATCTAAAGGATGGGGATTTAGCTCAGTGGCCTAAGTGCCTGCCTAGCAAGCACAAAGTCATGAGTGTCATCCTCGGTACCAAAACATTTCTATCTCCCCCAAAATGCCTTTATGCTTCTCGGCAGCCACTGCCTTTCCCTCCCATTAGTCCTCCCAGGTTCTCAGGCTGTGAGGAATTTTTAAATCTCACCCTTTTCCTTCCTCCGAAAAACTGATGAAAGCAGCATTAGTACCAGAATCCAGAGGTCTGACCTCCAGCCTTGCTCACTCTCCACACAAAGCATTTCTGATTCAGCCACTCAGGCAGGATGTATCTTCATTCAGCTCCATGAATCCGTTTCTCTAGCTTCTCTAATCCCCTCCGAAGTATCCACTGCCTTGTAACATTTTTCAACTTTGGTGGGTTCTAGAATTTTATCTGAGGATTTTTGTCATTAGTGTTATTTCCTTAAATGTTCTTAAAAGCCTTTAACACAGAAATTGGTGCTTTCCTTTAGAAATTGTCTCTGAAAAGCAGCTTAATTCATTAGTTGGTTGCTTTCATCAACATCACTTGTTGAAAAGTGTCATTAGTATGTAAACCACTTCTAATCCAGAGCTCCAAAATTACCTCTAAAAACTCACAATAGACTGAACTCAAGAGTCATCCACGCTTAGATTTAATAGGACTTCTTTCAACTGTTTTTCATTATCCAGCTGGGCTTGCTATCAGCCAGTTGTTGAGGGGACTGAGGTGGTAGAGAAGGGTGGATAAAAGCATCTTATCTCTGCCAACTGGATCAGGGGAGGGTGCATGATTCTGGGTTTAAAACAGTGGTTCTCAAAGTGTGGACTCACCACCAGCATCTGCACCCCTTGGGAACTTGCTAGAAATGCAAATTTGGGAACTGGAGTCCAAATTTACCAGACGAAGCCATCCAGGTGATTTTGATGCATGCTTAAGTATAAAGCACTTAATTTAGATATGGTATAAATCTGCTCAATTATAAACCACAGTGAAGATTTCAAAAACAGCTCTTTGAAAAATAATTGCCTTGACTGGCTGTAGTGATAACCCTCTGCCACCCTCCAGGCACATGTCCCACTTATGAGTATATACGCTTCATGTATCATTTATGAGTGTGTTTCTACTGCTCTACAGGGCTGGTATTTAGAATCAGACTTGCTAATGAGCAGCAACCCCGTGTTCACTGCTGGTTCAGTGCACTCACAGGTGTAGGCACACAGCAGAGAGGAGCTTAGCAGGCAACCTTCCACATTCTGCTTTCAACAAACAAACAAGGAGGAGGATCCAGAAGTGTCACTTGACAGTGACGACAGAGCGTTTTTTTTTTTTCCCCTATGAAAAAAAGAACCAAGGCAGAAAGAAAACCCTAAATAAGCTACTAACTTCTGTAAGGAGAAAGGTGAACCAGCAGCTGCGTTGGCCAGCTCCCACTCAGCACCATGAACGCTTCCTTTGCTCACCTCCATTTTGCTGGAGGGTATCTGCCCTCTGACTCCAAGGACTGGAGGACCATCATCCCGGCTCTGTTGGTGGCTGTCTGCCTGGTGGGCTTCGTGGGGAACTTGTGTGTGATTGGCATCCTCCTTCACAGTGTTCGGAAAGGAAAGCCATCCCTGATCTACTGTCTGATCCTCAATCTCAGCCTGGCAGATCTCTCCCTCCTCCTGTTTTCTGCACCTGTACGAGCCATAGCATACGCCAAAGGTGCCTGGGATCTAGGCTGGTTTGTCTGCAAGTCCTCTGACTGGTTCACCCACACATGCTTGGCAGCCAAGAGCCTGACAATGGTTGCAGTGGCCAAAGTATGTTTCATGTATGCAAGTGACCCAGCCAAGCAAGTAAGTATCCACAGCTGCACCATCTGGTCAGTGCTGGTGGCCATCTGGGCTGTGGCCAGCCTGCTGCCCCTGCCGGAATGGATTTTCAGCACCACCAGGCATCACGCAGGTGTGCAAATGTGCCTCATGGATGTACCAGCTGGGGCCAAAGAGTTCATGTCAATGTTTGGTAAGCTCTACCCTCTCGTAGTATTTTGCCTTCCGTTACTTCTGGCCAGCTTTTACTTCTGGAGAGCTTACAGCCAATGTAAAAAACGAGGAGCGAAAACTCAAAACTGTAGAAATCAGATGTGTTCAAAGCAACTCACAGTGATACTGCTGAGCACTGCCATCACCTCAGCTCTGCTGTGGCTCCCCGAGTGGGTATCTTGGCTGTGGATATGGCACCTGAAGGCTGGAGGCCCAACCCCACCACAGGGTTTCATAGCCCTGTCTCAAGTCCTAATGTTTTCCAACTCTTCAGCAAATCCTCTCATTTTTCTTGTGATGTCTGAAGAGTTCAAGGAAGGCTTGAAAGCCTTGTGGAAATGGATGGTAACCAAAAACCCAGCTGCCTTGGAGTTGCAGGAAACACCAGCTGCTAACACTGAGGTCCTTCCTGACAAAGCTCCATCCCTAGAGTCCCCAACGTCCACTGCAGAAAAGCCTGGCTCTCCCAACTCCAGCAAAGACAAGAAGAAGGCAGAGATTCCCATCCTCCCTGATGTAGAGCAGTTTTGGCAGGAGAGAGACACTTTTCCTTCCGTACAAGACAGTGACCCTATCCCCTGGGAACATGAAGATCAAGAGATAGAGGGTTGCGGTAAATAGATTCAAATTTCAAGGAAAAAGTGATTACTGTATTTACTTATACTGCTTAGTGATACTGTTGTTTGCCATATAAAATTATTAACATTAGGAATTATAAAATGCTTCACATTCTACATTTTCAAAATGTATAGTCTGGTAGGTAGAATACTATGTAGTAATTATGTTTAATTATAACTTGGCTGTCCAAAACAAATCAACCTTAATTGTTGTGTAAAGATGCTCCTGCCAAGGTAGAAAGCTGTCTTGTCACTGGCTCACAGTGATTTTCACTGGGTACCTTTCAGGCCAGTCCTGTACTGTACTGTGCTGAGAACTTACTTCTGTCCAAATGTTAAGCACACATCTACTTTCAGGTTCATCCTAAACTTGCTGTCCTTCACATAACCAAGCCCAAGATGGACCCCACGTAAGAACTTTAACACAATGAATAAATTTCAGTGAGTTATCGTCATGTGCTTAATGTTAATTTTCTTAATGAAAATCCATATAATTTCCCTGACCAAAGCTTACAGAATAAGAAACACCATCTTGCTCCAATTTTCGGACGAATTCAAACTATGGCTATTTTTGGCCAAGTTTAATTAAATTTAGACTTTGCTTTATACCATAAAGGTTGTTTTAATCACCTTTTAAAGCCATCTAAGTCTTCAGTTTCAACGTCTGAGAATTTTAGCAGCCTGATATGGAAAATGGAATTTTAAAACTGGCTTTCCTTTTCTAAAACACAGGATGTTGGTTACTCTTCAACAAGCAGAAATTTTTTCTTTCCAGTATCTCCTTTCTTCGAAAATAAACTATATAGTTAATGACATAGACATGCTTTTCACTCATCTTTCATGTTAAAAGAATTTGTTTACCAATAGCAATGAACTTGAACTCTATTCAACTTATAAAATATTGCAAGGCTTCTAAGTTATGAAAATAACTCAGGGGCACAAGCAAAGGAAAGCATGAGAAACAGTAGCACAACAAACATTAAGACTGGTAAATAGAAAATAAAAACCATACAGCTGATGCAGAGTGAAATGCACTAGAAATCAAATTTATGTTCCTGAACATATGGCAAGTTTTGAATAATAGGCAGTAACTGTTCATTTTATAGCAAGGTAAAGTACAACTGATTAAGTATATTTCCCCCTCTCCATCTCTTTAAAAAAAGGTATTTATGATTCTTTGACTGTTTTCTTATGCAGTGCTGGTGTTTTTAACTAAGGGTCCTTGCATGGAGGGGGGGGGGAACTCCTCTAAAGGAAGCAACAGAGAATTTGAAAATATAAAGAATTTATAATACAGCCAGGAGACGTGGTTCATGACTGCAATTACTGCCACTGAGAGGGTAAGACAGGAGGATCCTAAGGCTGAGAGGGCAACTTACAAAATAAAAAGGACTACAGATGTAATGCAGCACTCCCTTGGTTCAATCCAGCGAATGTAAAAAAAGGTAATGCCAAAAGAATATTGTGCTCAAAGAACTATTATTTTAATGTTCTGACTATGGATTTATCCATGCTTCTTACAAGAAATCAGTTTGTTTTTAATACAGAAGGTATAGCTGTTTTCTACTCAATTCATTACAAATCTTATTTGAAACTTGCATGTTTCAAATAAGTATAATTTAACTCAAGAATCCAAAATACTGTTTTGTGATACCGTAGTTATACAAGGGATTACGGCAATTGTGGTGAATCATTTGAATTAAAAGTTTTTCATGTTCACTGTATAAATATAAGGTACAAGCTTCTACTGTTTGACATTTTAACTTGTAAAAAAATAAAAACAATTGTTTTACTTCAGATAGTTTTTTGAGGCTTACAGCTGTGTCTTGAATTATTTCAAAATCATCCTTGGGACAATGAAGCTTAATGTGGGCTAGGACCTTAACAAAGGCACAGATTTCAGGCTAAACTGAGCCGCCAAGAGGCTACGGACCTAAGTACAAAGTTGAGATACAGAGAGTGGAACACAGTAACTATGAGATTAGTGTCCTGACTTGATTCCTTAAAGAAAAATCCTGCACAAAAAGCTTAATTTGCACCTCAGCCGATCAAATTCAAATACTTTTAAGACAAAAGTAGGATTTAGGAATAGACACCTCCAAGCACTACTGTGAGAAACAGAATGTGGTGAGTGGGAAAATAGTGCCATGGGGAATTCGGAATGGTGAAAAAGGCATTCTAGAAGTTTCACCTTTGCAGGACACTCATACTTCATTAATACTTATGTTCCTTTTGACAAGCACTTCAATTTCATTCCTTATAAAACTTAAAAATCACCCTGAATTTACAAAAATACATTTCAAAAGGAGAAAAAAACAGTAAAAAAATGTAAATTCCATTTAACAATTTCAGAGGTTAAGACGTCAGTCTGATCCATCAATGCCAAGTTCACATAATGTATAGAGCACTTAATGTGCTTAAGCTAACTACCAAGTAATATGGTTGTCAATTTGTGTCTGTGACTATAACACAAAAAACACAAATACAGACCTGTTAGAACTTCCTCTTTTCTAGGTTTTGATGCAGTCATAGTAGGTATGAGATAATAGGGAAAATAACCCTATTAACATATATTATCTTGCTTATACGTTTAATTTGTGTGGTACACAATTAAAGCTGAAGCTCAATCTATGAGAGATGAAAGAGACTGGGAGACCAGCCTGGGCAACACAGTGAGCTCAAAATAAAAAAGAGCTGGTTGTAAAAAGGTAATGCAAAAAGAATATTGTGCCTCAGTATAAAAGCCCAGGTTCAATCCCCAGTACCCCACACCGCAAAAAAGAAAAAGCAATTGGAAATCAAAGGTAAATTTCCTGGTGTGTAGCCCATGATATGCTGAAAGGGTTATCAAAAAGGAACACACTATCAATATGTCAAAAGAAATAAAAATAAGATCGCTAAGCAAAAATAAATCTGGATCTTCTTGCTTTCAAGCAATAGGTATTACTAAGAGATTTGAAAATCCAAAAACTTGGTTCTCTACAGATTTCTTTTGATACCAGAAATACTGGTATATTCAAGCCTTTAAAAAACTAATACTCAAGATTTACAGTTAATTTTGTGCCCAATTTGCTGCTTCTTTTAAAAGCACATTTTTATATATCATGTAAGAGTAACCATATACAATCCACATATATAAAAATGGTTGGTTTATTGTAGTTCAAATACATAAACTGAACATTCAAACATCTTAAAATTAAACTTTAGGAACAAAAGTTTAACATTCAAACAGGAGTATAGTTTACAGAGAACACCCAGAAAGGGAATTTTGTTGTCTAATCCGGAATATTGATAAAGGCCATTTAATTGGGAATAAAATGTTTAACCAGCAGTTTTATTCTGGCCAACATGTTAGTTCTGAACATGGTTCCATACCTGAGAAGAAATTACTACATAAATCTTCTCTTAGGCTAACAACCAGACTTGGCCTATCATTTAGAGGGGATCATCAAAGGACATAAGTGAACAAACAACTAAACTGTTCCTTATAGACAAGAGTAAAAGTGTGTCCATAATAGTAATCATAGCCCCTGGAAGAATTCAATTTTCAGTGTTTTCTCTTTTACCCGCTTTAAGAAACAAATCAAAACAAAACAATCCCCAACTTAGGTTTTCTTGGAGTCTGTATTTGCATCTTTCAAGTTCAAACAACAAATGCTCTATGTCTTGCATGTATAACACTGCTAGGAAAAACATCACCAAGTCACTGATTTCCACACCTCATAAAAGGATGATTTTTAGCTTCAAAATTTTAGATTTAGCAGAGACAGCCTATATTTGAGTATGTATGTCTGTCATGCCACACAAAGAATAGCATAAATATTTCCAAAGTGTTCTGTCCAGAAACTGCATCTCCTTCTGTCCGCCAGGTGGTTCTGCAATAAGTTGACTAATGCACATATATGGAAAAACCTGAAAACTGGCTCATGCAAGCATTTTGAATAGATACTCCTGTGGAACAGTATTTAGAATTATTTTGTTGATCGTCTAGTGGGTTCTGATGCTGTGGGAGGTGGGGGTGGGCCCCGGCGATCCAGGTCGTCGACATACGCCACAATCAGTTTGCGCCTCTCCTCGGGCACACAGTCCAGTACTAGATACCGTTTGTCATTCTGCAAAATTTTTTCTACATCTTTCAGGTGCTGATCAGATTCCTGGATTAGCTTTTTGGATCTGAAATACGAAAAGAAGTCCAAGAATTACTGACTGCTGTTCACTGGTCTTTCAAAAATGAGCTGGAAATGTCCATCTAGTTCCTAATTGTGTTGCCATTTTTTTTAAGAAAAATTTCACTGCAGTAGTCACCTTTGTAAGTCACCTCAGCAAAGACTCCAAGGAGTGAAAGGGCCTCAGAAGCTGAATTACCCTCCCACCCCTACTGGTGGTCCCTCCAGATCAGGGCTGAGGGTGGGTGGGTAAATCTTGCCCGTGCTGTACCTGTTCTGTGGATGAACAGAGGACTTCAGTCTGCAGGGCTGCCAATCCCAGCATCTCTCACAAGCTTTCACTTTCACATCTTTCACTAAATTAACTATAAAAATGTAGAAAGAAGTCTTACTTCACATCTAATTTAAAAGCCCAAGCTGATGCAAAACATTAAGGATCCTGACCAAAAAATCCAAATGACAAAATACCTAAAAACCACACCCTCAGCACTATCTATCCTCCCGTGCACATACCCTTACGATGTTTCAAATTTTTCTTTTAAAGAAAGATTCTGAGCATTCAACAAAAATGGTTTCCTGCATACTGACTGGTAAGCAATTCAAAATTGTTTTCCTGATGATCAGTAACTAGGGGAGAGAACTACTGGGTATGTTACACAGAAATTTTATTCTAGAGGTTCTGATTTTATAATTTAAAAATTATTTAAATGTTTTCATCAAACTGCTTCTCTCTGAGAAAAAAGCATTTTTACTGAGTTTAAGTAAATAATTTCGAGTATTTGAATGGTCTAGTACATTGAATGGTCCTCAGAGGAAGCAAGGATAATTGATAGTGAAGAATTTTTCTAAAGCCTCTTTGGAGAATATACTTCTTCTATAATTGAGAATACTCTTAAAAAGGCAGTGAAGTAAAAACAAAAGTATGTTTTAAAAACTGGATGGGTGGGTAACACAAAATAAGAATTGACATCTGGGCCCTTTCTTGAAAAAAAGGAAAAGAAAAAAGTATAGCACATATGAGCTATAGCTGGCCTTAGATAAAAGTTGGCATCTTCGTAGTCCTAAAAATTAATAATGTCAACATGTGTGTGAATGAAAAGTATGCTCTGGCTGTTCAGAGTAAAGTCTAGTAAAGACAGTAACTGCTGATATGAAAGATTTCCACGGCACACACCTGTATGTTATAAATTTGGTCTCTTTCAAAAGCGTCCTAAAGTCAGCTTTGGCTGTGATGTATTTGTCTCTGATATATTCTTCAAACTCTCTTTGTTTTTTCTGCAAAAATAAAAAAAGAATAGCAAACATTAGTGGGAAAGAATTTATTAATTCCAAAATAAACATTAATTATTCATTTAACCAGCAATTTGTCATGTAATAAAATTTAAAAAGATACGTAAGATAAGACATATCATGTTCTTATGTTTAGCATTTTACAGTGGTCATCTCCTTCAGCCTTCATTAACCTCAAGAGGCAGGCATTAAACACTCTTAAAATAAGAAAATTAAAGATTAAGTGTTCATTTCCTGTAGACTATATTGAAGTCTTTAGGCATACAAACACAGCTCTGGATGAAATATTTGGGGATGACAATGCACAATGTATGTACTATCGTTGCCCCCTAATAGACATGTTTTGAAATTTAGTTTTTCTTTCTTTTTCTCCTTGAAATAAAATGTGGAGAAAAAAAAAGAAGATAAAAACACAAAGCATATCATTTATGAATGGACACAATTATAAGATAACACTCGAAACTTAAACTAAGCATGTAGCATTCTAGTATGTAAACAATAAAGATGTATACTCTCAGGTCTTACAAAAACAAACAAAAGACACCTTACTATTCATTTTAAATCATCAGAAAAGCTAAAAACTAAGACACCTCCACGCTATTAGTCCACCATTCTTTTCCAACCATGCATATTTTGTGGTTAGTCCACACATGGAAAATCTAGCTTATAGTTTGAGAGGAAAGAATGTTGGTTGGATCTATGCGTTTTTGGATACCAGACCTAGAGAAACCAATCAGACAAGGAGAACAATGTGAAGAAAAATCACATGAAAAACCAAGGGATAAAATGGACTGTAGTAAACAACACTTTTCTTGACAGTACACACCATCTGAGTCCCTAGGTGATCTGTTTCCTACAAAGGAGTCAGAATACATGAGAACAGGGCTAACCCTTCTGCATCTGAGGTTCCCCTAACTACAGTTCAGAGACTATACAGTTCATGTTGTGTGGTTTGCTAGTGTGGCTTAAAGGTCAGGT